TCCAAACATCTAAGAATTGTAATTTGTGTAACAAATTTTAAAAATATATATATAACTAAAAGAAGCAAAATAGAAAACTCAAAACTACAACACACTATATACCGTAATTCTAGACATTTTCAACACAACTCTACATGGGTCACCCCTAGTGGGGCGAAATTCACATGCAATTGGCAAAGAACTGATTCTATTATCATCCAATATTACAAGATTTGGTAAATATGAGGCTTCTTGTAAATACGAGGGTTACCTCACAATAGGTGAAGCACCACCTAAGAACTAGGGCTGGGAATTTACTCAGAACCGACTACCCAACCCGCTCAAAGTCTGGGTATGGGTCTAAGATCCCGACCTGATGGGTCGGGTCCAGATCCAAATCTTGGACCCAAATAGTAAATCGTGTCCGGTCCATGCCTCGAATTAAGGTTTTTCAACATTAAAATAACCTTTTTCGATGGATTATTCAGGTGCGTCTTTAGTTCTATATTTCAACGTTGCGACCTTATATAAACTTTCCTCTCTCTCTCTCTATATATAAATTTATATATGCTAGTGTTTTTCTTTACAAATCTCCTTATTAGTCTTAAAATGAGAAAATCGATGAAGTATTGCCTAAATCTTCTGATCTAAGATTTACATGTTTTTGGTATTTTTTAAAATAATTTTTGGGCAAACATTTTTGGGATATTTTGTAATATGTAGCTAATTTTTTATTTCTTTAGATATAATCCGTTGAGTCTAGGTCCAGGTATGAGTCCTCCAAATAAATTCCGGGTCCGGTTCCCATGCATGGATTTTGGGTCCAGATCTGAGTCCAGGCAGAACCTACCAACCCCTACTAACCTCCATTTACTCCAGCGAAAGTTTAGCCTACAAAAAAAAATCCCGATAAAAGTACCCAAAATACGGCCCAATGGTAGCTAGGGTTTTAGCGTGATTACAAATGACCTTCACAATGAAAGGAATACCATTGGGTGATTTTGGATCTTCTACTCAAGAACTGTAGACAATGTTGTTCTCCTTCTTTCCAAAAGCTGCGGCCCGGTTCAGCAACCCGGCCCTTTTTTCCTTATTCATTTTTTCTTTTTATTTATTGGGTTATATTTGGCTCCACCCAGCCCTAACAAGGGCTTGGGGTCTTTGGCCCGGTCAAGGGCAGTCCAGGCTTGGGCTGGTCCTCTAGAGACCAGGGCCGGGTTAGGGTCAACGCTGGTCTGGGCGAGGCCCAGCACATTGCCAAGCCTACTTAATTTCCTTTAGTGGAGTGTGGTGACTTCTAAAGCAAGGTCAAGGCCTTGGATTTTGAAGTAGATCCTAAAGGCAACTTCGCCAATCAACAAGAGTATAATCAAAATGATAAACCTTGAAGATGATGCGATAGTTTTCCCTTTCTTGTTTGTGTATCTCCAAGGGCATGAAGCATCAAGCAACAAAAAAGAGATTCATGAAGACGCACAGTCGATAATATGAACACTTCCAAAACTAAGCTCCCGCGGGAAGCCATCATTTGAACCGAAGTAAAATGATACCATTAAACATTCTCAAGGGTTGCTTTTTCATTGGTACTTCTTCAAGAAAAAAAAGAAAAACAAAACCTAAAATCTCCTACGTACATTGTTACTATTTGGATTGTTTGATGATCTACCATTAATGAAACTAAACTTTTTAAGAAAAGAAATCAATGAGACCACTTACCTTTTGTACAAGGTGATCACAATTAATTTTGACCATTGGATGTGAAATTGGGTGGTTGTATTTATTTCATTGACTAAGCTCAGGCTTCAAAAGAAATTTTCTCGAACTTTGTGACACATCCAAGCTATCAGATTTCACATCGAACAGTTTTAAGTAATTGTGAGCTCCTTGTATGATAGGTAAATGGCCTCATTGTATACAATCCCATCTTTTGCTAATTTTTTATTTTTTTAGGAGATACCTAATTGAAATGAAAATTGGAAAACAACTTTGAAGTGTTTGAAAAAGATGCACATTTTGGGTTCCTTTATATCTTGGGCGCCTAGGGTTGCGTAGGACCAAATTGTATGTCTAGTCCTATTTGTTAAAGAATTGGCCAGCAAGTTCTGAACATTTTTTATTCACCCCATGATCAATCTAAAAGAGAAAAAAAAGGGAAAAAAAGGGGAAAATATCTTGATACCCTTTATTTTTAGGTTTTATTTCACAATAGATCCAAAGCTTTAAAAGATATCTTGGAGCATAAAAATTGTAGATTTTATTTCTTCTAACACCCTGAGCTACATAAAACTTGTGCTTTTTTAGGCCAAACAAACTTAAAAGGACATGCCTTTTCTAAAAGCCATTCTCCCAAAGTTCTATCTCTTTCTCGCTTCCTACATCCATTTTCTCTCTCATTTCGTCTCTCCTCTTGCTCTCTCTCTTCTCAAATACACAATAAGTATACGGAGAGAAAGAGAGGTGTTTGGATAAACACCAGAAGAGAGAGGTGTTTGGTGGTGAGAGGTTACCAAGAGGAGAAAGAGGTGTTTGGTGGTGAGAGGTTACCAAGAGGAGAAAGAGGTGTTTGGATAAATACCGAAAGAGAGATGTGTTTGGATAAACACAAAATGAAAGAGATGCTTGGTGGCAAGAGGTTACCTAGAAGAGAGAGAGGTGTTTGGATAAACACATGGAGAGAGAGAGGTGTTTGGATAAACATAAGAAGAGAAAGAGAGATGGGTGTTTGGATAAACACAAAGAGAGAGAGTGAAACACGCACGAGAGAAGTTTGGGGTATATAAATGAAGACAGAGGAGGGATTGGGTTTAGAAAGGGCATGTCTTTTTCACATTTGTTTAGGTTAGAAAATAGGTTTAAAGTGACCAGGCAGTTGGAAGATATTTGTTGAAATGTTGGGTTTATTAATAAATAAAATCTAAAAATAGGGGATATGGAAATATTTTTTTTTAAAAAAAAAAAAATCAATCTCTTACCATCTATGAACTCAAAGAAAATCAAGAGCTAATCTTGGAACGTCTCTTTAAATCTTTGTGTTGTGGGACTAAGTATATAATTTGCTCCTACAAGACAAGCAAACGTTTTTCCCAATATGTTTATCCCTTTATCTTCATGTAACTTATCCTTTGTGGTCGGTTACACGATTCCTCGTTTGTCATTCTACTCTATTGAGGGTCATATCGTCAAGGCGCATTTGTTTATTTGAAATATATCTTCTGGAAAGTTGAATGTTTTGTTTTGGAATGTTTAAATAAGTTTTGAGTATTGATAACATGCTAGAATGTTAAGAAAGTTTTGAGCACTATGCTTGATAACATATACACATTAACCATATAAATATAAAGAAAAAGTTTATATAAGGTTAGAATTACATATGAACCTGAAAAATCCATCGGAAGAGGTTTCTTTAATGTTGAAAAAGACCTCTAATTGATAATCTCGACATCGAGATGTATGAATATGAAAAAAAAAAAAAAGATTTTCAGCCCCATAAATAGTGCTCCTTGCAATATATTATTTAGACCGTACATTTTCAAGATTTTCATATGTTTATAGATCTACTTGACTTTAACCATTTTTGGAGTTTAAAAATTTATAATTATATGAAAATAGATTTTGAGATATTCCTAAGAATTTTTTTCACAACAATTATATGATATGATAAAATTTGGAGGTGCACCTTAATTGGATTGTTTAGGGTTACAACCTTATAGAAACCACACCCTAAATATAAATATATAACATAATATAATGAGTAATGATCCTATGAGACCCTTCCACACCCATGTGTGTAGGACCTCAAAGGATCACCATTAAATTTGTCACAGATCTCTAAAAAAATTATCACATGTGTGTCGGACTTGACTTTTCTATAGATCTGTGTCAAATTTAATGGTGATCCTTTGGGGTCCTATACACATGGGTCTGGGAGGATCTCATCGGATCATTACTCTAATATAATATTTAATAAATGATAATTATATATTTTATATAATATATAGTATAATAAAAGATATTTGTATATTATGTATATAATATTTATATTATTATTTATTATATTATACATAATATTTTTTAATATAATAATATAATAAATATATAATATGAGAAATGATCCTATAGGACCTTCCTCCACCCATATGTGTAGGACCCCAAAGAATCACCATTAAATTTGGTACAGATCTCTAGCAAAGTCAAGTCCCACACCCTTGTGATAACTTTTCTAGGGATCCGTGTCAAATTTAATGGTGATCCTTTGGGTCCTACATACATGGGTGGGTGAGGGTCCTATAGAATCATTAATCATATAATATTTATATATTATATATAATATAATAAATATGTATTATATAATATATAATATATAATATAATATAAATATATAGTAGTATTAATCAACATACATTATATAATATAAATTATATTAATAAAATAAATATATAATTTTATAAATTATAATATTATATTATTTGATATTATGTTATAGTAATATTATATTTTATTGTATCACATTTATAATACTAATATTATACATAGTGAATAGTGATCAACAAAAAAGTTACGAAAGATTAAGTTTGTACTCCCTTAGGAACTTAATATTTAACTTTTTAACAAAGGAATGAGAACTTTTGTTGAAAGATTAGTTCATAAACTTTTCATGAAAGGTGTGAAACATACGCAGAACTTTTTCAAAATCTGAAGAATACTTTCAAAAAAAACAAACATGCCCTCTGTGAGGCCATAAGTTCTCATACTACTAATATTTTGAGACATTTTTCCTATTGGTGAAGCATATTAGATGATTTCCCTTTTGATATCCATTGTAGATTTTGTCATGAATGAAGGGTTTCCATTCATGATACTCATGTGGAGATAGGTTATTTACCAATGTGAAATAGTTCTGTCAAATTTTGAAGGACATTACCATGATGATTTTAAATGAAATTTATTTGTGGGCAAATTCTCACCTTTTTTTTTCTTTCTCATTTTCTTTTTTGACATGAGGTTTTGTTTGTGTTGTTAAGGTGGGGTACGTGTCCAGGCAAAATAGCCGGATGCCTGGTTACTACGATGGAAGATACTGGACTTTATGGAAGCTTCCCATGTTTGGGTGTGCTGACTCCTCACAAGTGCTGAGAGAGATAGAAGAGTGCAAGAGGACCTATCCAAGTGCTTATATACGCTGCCTTGCTTTTGATAACCAGAAACAAGTCCAATGCATGGCCTTCCTCATCCAGAAACCCTCTCAAGCGTAAGGTTCAACTTGGTTCCTTTGGTTTAGGCCTGTTGCAACGAAACAGGAATGCTACTTCTTTTTGTTGTGGAAAATAATGATGCTCTTTATGGATAATAAGTAAATGATGAGTGGGGTTTGAGCCATTCTCTCTTGATTCTTGATGGCAAATTATTCATCCAACTTGTATTGAAATATAAGTTTCTGGTTTTAGGTTGTCATATGAATGCTGGAGGCCGCCCCAGTGCTGCGTTGGCTCTAATATCCGTGTATGCATTGGGGTGGCGATGGGCACGGTCTCCTAGCCCGGCTCTGAAAAATTAGAGCTTGGGTTGCTAAATATGGCATGAGGGCTGGGTTTAGGCTAGGGCCAAGATAGGCCGACCTGGTTAGTCCTGGCCTAACCTTTATTATTTATTTATTATTTTTTACCTTAGCCTGACCCAACCTTAATAGGGCTAGGGTTGGGCCTTATTGAATCTAACTGAAGATGTATATAGCCGGATATATATCTAAGGAAAAACGTACAAAGTGACTTTTTGCTTTTGGTATAAGGAGGTCAAAATCACTCTTACCCATTGAATTTTTAAATTGGGTGACTTGGTTTAAAATTCAAAGAAATTTTTTTCAAAATTTATGATGCTCCAAGCACTTGAATATCTCAAAATTTGTGACACGTTCCAAGCTGTCCAATTTGAAATTAGATGGCTTGGTGTGTTTGTGACTTCTTTATAGCAAAAGTAGATGGTCTCATAATATACAATCCTTATATCAAATGCGTGAGTACAATAGTAAATCGTAAGCGAGAAATAAAATGAAAATAAGGGCGTACTCGAATCACACAAGATCTACGTGGTTCACCTTGAAAAAATTGCATATATGACCTCAATAAGTCGAAATCCTACAGCCTAGGGTTGCAAGAGATATACCTCCCCCAGTCATCAATAATCCCCACAAAGTTTTGGTCCTAAAATCCACTCCCCCAACTGCACAATATCACCTATCAATTTCCTCTTTCCTGCTGCCACACATGTAAGGGAACTTTTGAGTACTCTTATTCCTTGTAGGAAAACATGGAGCGGTATTTTTGCTACACCTTGGAAGTTTTATAATGAAAGAATTACTTTGCGCATGACCAGGATGGGATCTATGGGAAGGGCCTTAGAAATACCACTCCGTTGAATTGAACATAGACCGTCCGTGTTTTCGATGGTTAGCTTGAGATATTCAGTAACTCAAGCTTTAAAGGATAAAATTTTTATAAGGCCTAGGCTTTATGAAAACAAAATAAAGCCTCACCTCAAATTCGCATCCGGAAAGTACTTTCGGCCACAGAAATCTCCATCATGGTTTTAAAATCATTTATTAATACCGACAATAAAAATTTGAAGCTCATAAAATGGTATAGATCTTGGGATCTGTGAATAATTGTTTTTAGGGTGAAATGGACAGTTTAGATAATTTGTTACAATATACACTATTTTTAGAGTTTAAAATCCTAATTTTTTTCACAACTATAACATCCAAGCAGAGATGATCGATGCAAAAGTTTTCAATACTTCAATTGCAATTTTTGATGAGTTATAAGGAGAGGCTTTACTTATTTTAATTGACATGCAGCTCCATCAAACCATTTTCCAACTTTAAAACCCCCCTTAAAAAAAAAAAACACAACATCATGTAGGAAATGTTTTCATAAAATTAAGGTTCTAATTTAGGTAACTACAAAAAAAAAAACGATAAAAATAAAAATAAAAAATTCATGTCCATATCGTGTGGACTGTTGGAGGGGTGCACAACGGTTGAGATTTCCCATAACCAAATCCAATGGCCAAAGTTCCATGTTATATTTTTTATTTTCTATTTAAATACAATATCTATTTGAATTTTGAGGTACAGGTCTATTTTCTAAGGAGAACTAAATAACTATGATTCAAAAAATATTTAAATAAAAAGACGAAATATCCCTAAATTTCTTTTCATCAATATCTTATTTAACATGTTTTTATTAATTTTATTTGATTCTACTTATAAAAAAGAAGTTAACCCCAAATACATTAATATTTTTAAATAAAAACTAAAAATAAAGACGAAAGTTCATTTTTAGCTCTTGGATGATTCTGGTTCAATGTCAAACATTAAAAGCTGCTTCTACAAGATCACGAGAATGGATTTGGGCTCTAGAAATGCTCCATGTTGAGCAAATACATCATGACCCCCAAAATCATGATAATGGGTTTTGGGCTCTAAAAATCTCCATATTCTCTCACTCTCATATAAATACATGAGCCCAGTGTCTCAGATTGAATTTGGGCCGATCTGACGATCATGAATGTCCGGTAGTACTTGAATTTTATTTTATTTTCTATATATCCAATAGTACTTGAAATTTAGGTGTGTGCTTTTCTCATCATGGCGCACCTAATAAAAATATAAAAAAAATTATTCACCAAAAATATCCAAAATACCTCCTGAAACTTTTCGGGGGTATTTTGGTCAATTTATTTCATGAAAAATATTTTTTTGATATTTTTCGAAGATTCAACTATTTTTTATGAACATAAGCTAAATATTTGAAGTGATTTAATTTTTTTGAAAAAAAACTAAAATTCAAACACTACCGAACATTTGTGATCGTCAAATCGTCCCAGATTCAATCTGGGACGTTGGGCTCATATGTTCATATGAGCTAGTGGGCTAATCTCATATTTTCCCATATATATATATATATATATGGACAAGCTTTCTATGCATTCTCTACAACATAGAAATTCTATTCTCCCCCTTATCCAACCATCCATTCTGAATGGACGGTTAAGATTGCCCTAATCACAATGTCACGTCTCTACACTATTTTATTTTTAATTATTTTTTCTAAACTATTTTTTACACCAAATTTTGGACGTCCATTCCTCTATTAAACTCACACTAGCAAAATATATATAAAAAAAATTTCAATAAAATAAAACAATCAAAATACCCCTGAAAGTTTCAAGGGTATTTTGGTCATTATATTTTATCAAAAAATTATTTTTAATATTTTTATAGGTGCGTCTCAATGCGAATATTCCATGTACCAAATTTCGTATTCATACAATTTGTATAAAAAAAAACTAAATATAAAATACTTTGAGACATCTGATCTATGATCAAACGGTGAGTGGCTCTCTTGATCAAAATTGGACATCTGATCTATGATCAAACGGTGAGTGGCTCTCTTGAT